TGTGTTTGTTTGTTTGTTTGTATTTGTAAAATGAAAATTAATGTATATTTCACGCGTGAATCAAATAATAATAAAATTTGTAATCCTCGCGACAAAAATGGCGGAATTATTGTTTGTTGTCAATTTTTTTTTTTTTTTTTTACGTCGATTTAAATATATTTTAAGGAGGGGGGGGGAGAAATATTTGTAATGGCGTAAGTTACGAAATAACTTTTATTTATATAGCCGGTAATTAATAACGAGTTATAAATATAAATGATAAAATATTCGTTAAAAAATTATCATTTCACCGCGAGGTCACAAAAGTTCAAATTATTATCATTATTATTATTAGTATTTTGATAAAAAACGAGTTTTCAAAAAAAATTTTTTTTTTTTCGTTTTTGTAAATTTGAATTTAATGAGATTTTTCAGGCTTGTTGTTACTTTTGAATTTAAGGTGGCGGTGATAAGTCAGTCACTAACTCGACGTAAACCGGAAATGACGAAAATAATAAACGCAAAAAAAAAAAAAAAAAAAAAAAATAGAAAAAATCCTTATTCGCGTGATTAGGTCAAAATTTTTTTCTTTTTTTTTTTTGTTTTTTCTCACTTGTCATTATTTTTAATAGAAAGTATTTTTGTTTTATCGTACCTGAATACCTACGTAATACGATTTTATTCGTTTTAGGTTTAATAAAAGCAGTAGGGAGGAATAACGGGAGGACAAACAACGACGCTATCGAAAAGAAATTATTTTTTGGCGCGAAAAATTTTACGCGCGTTCTTTTTCCCCCGTTCGATTGATTTAATCGTCTCGATTAATGATAATTATATATTCTATTTCCACGTTTTAATGCGATTTAATCGAATTAAATATGGAGTTTTTTGTTTTTTTCTAATCGTTTGGGAAAATAATTAATTCGTAATAATTTTTTTTTTTTTTTTTTACCAACGCGATCGAGAAGGCGGTTGTTTTGTTTTTGTTTTCGATTGTTTACTTTCGCGAGTTGTCGCTCGTTTGCAAAAAGCAGGGAATTTTTGAGTTCATCTGTGTCGCAAAACGGTAAATTTATTTTTTGTTTCCCTTTTTCAAGTTATTAAAATCGTTGTTTTTGTTTTTATAAACATATCATGCAAAACACACACACAACATAAAACTTTTTAAAAATAAAAAAAAAATAAAACGATAAGAAAACTATAAAATGAAAATAAGAAAACTTACTCGGTTTTGATAAAAAAATATCTTATTCCTTATGGTTTTAGTTTATGTATATATATTAATTGTCAAATGATGCAAAAATATTATTGTGTCTCTTCCCCTGATGATGTGTTGTTGTCGTATGAATGTCTTGATTCTTGTTGATTGAGACAGACGACGACAGTTGCTCCGCTAATATACCCCCCGCCTCCCACGTTTCTCTCTCTCTCTCTCTTTCTCTTTCTCTCTCTCTCTTTCTCTCTCTCTCTCTGTCGTGGTAAGAAAAAAAAAAAAATCATCATCATTATCATCATCATCATCATCCCCCGAGTTTTTTTCTATTTTTTCTCTTTTCTTTTTTTTTCTTTCCTGGCGACAGTTTTCAGTCTATTTATTATGCATGATCTTTAATCTTACTTTTCCTTTTGTTTGTTTGTTTGTTAAAAGAAAAATGAAAAGATATTTTTAAAATAACTATGTATTTCTTTTTTAAGAATTCTTTCTTTTGAGGGGGGAGGGGAGAGGGAGAGGGTAATTGCTTTTACCAGTGATTTTTTCCTCTCGTTGAAGGTTTCTCTCATTGTGGGGGGGGGGGGATTGTTTAAAAAAAAAAATTATT